CTTAGAAACGACGCTGTCAAGGAACGCTATGGACAGCGGAAACATGCAAGAGGAGAAGACAGTATTATCAAAATTTTGGGACAATATCATCTGATAAAGAGTACATTTATTTCCACATGTTTAAGATTTGACATTTAAACATGATTTTCCTACAACTTTAATGACTCTGATCAGCCTGGGGCCAAAATCCTTTAATGTATTCTAGAATCTGATTTGGAATAAATAGTTTGTGTTTGAGTCCCGCTGTGTGAGAAAATGACCTTTACCTCATGTCAGGCGTCGAATCTTAAATCCAGGTCCTTCCGCTGCTCGTTCAGGATCGTCATGCCGTAGAGACGCTCAACGTTGGTCTCCATCATCGCTGATAAAGCCTCCATTGCCTCCTCAAACTTCTCCTGGGAAGAGATTCAATCCAGCTGGTTTTAAAGGATTCTGTTAATGAATAACAGGAAGGACAGTTGATGGCGAGAGGACTTACATCCCAGAGTTTCATCTCCTCGGCCTGAGCTGCTTCTAGGAGCAGCTTCTCCTGTTTGAGCTCCTCCTCCCTCCTGCACCCTGTCAGCATCTGCAGAGTTTCCACATCCACCGGTTTCCCAAACCTCCCCATCTGCAGCTCGTTGCACTGCACCTCCAGCTCTGGATCAACGCAGCAATCAGAAGCAGGATATTGTGACTCAAAGGTTTAAGTTAACCCCTTAAGCCCAGAGGTCTGAAATTAAATATGTGAATTAAAGCAAGTTCTGCTCCCAAACTATCAATTGGAGATATGATTGAAAGGAGGAATATTGTTCAGGTGGAACCACTATTTCAAATGTCACCATGTCTGATTTATAAGTGATTAAACAAAGAAAAAATATTAAATATTTAGCCTTGCCTTTTTTTCCCAAAAATAAACGCTTCAAAGCGCATTTGAAACTCTGGATCTGGACATGTTGGCTGTAGCTACAGCTAATTTGGACTGAATCAGTTTAAGCATGTTTGTTCCACAAAGGTTTTAGGAGGCAGTTTGCTAGGCGGAAATCTGATTTTGGCACAATGCTAAAATAGCAAATAAGCATTTTTTTTCCAATCATACAAGCGAGTCTGGTCAGACAAATATGCTGATTTACATTTTTGGAGACCTTCTGTATAAGACAAAGACCGTTTCTCAAACTGTGTACTTGTGCGTTCTCGTGTCCTCGTGAAACGTCATCATCCTCAGCTCTAGCACTGTTCCGTTTCACTAGAGCAGCAGATCGAGAACGGACAAATCCCCTCCGATGTTGTTCTGGCCCCTCCCTCTTTACCCAGCATGCATCAGAGCAGACTTGTCCGTCCTCCGGACTGACAGCTGTCCCAGCATGCACTGCAGCAGCAGCTTCCAGGTTAGCGCTCACAGAGCTCAGAGGATTAACTTAAAAGTTCTCTTTTCTGTTGCTGTTGTTCAATAAAAGTACGTTTTAAGATCATTTGAGGCGAGAATATTATAATTTAGGCTTCACTATATGGAACATTTATCGATTTAATGCGTAATAAAAAAAAAATTGAGAGGACCGTGGCAACCAGCGGACCTCCAAGGGTAACAGCAGCCGGGGCTAACGTTAGCCCGTCCGCACCGGCCAGGGCTAACGTTAGCCTGTCTGCAGCAGCCCTCTCTCTGCATAGCCGTGTGTTAAGTAGTTCTCCCCGAGTCCAGACTTTCCTGGCTTCTAGTCAAGAACATACCTGGCGAGGACGCGAGTCCATACTCGCGTTCTTGTGAATTGAGAAACAGCCAAAGCCTTTGCTCCTAAGATTTAGCCGTTGTTTCATTGAAATTTACCAATAATATGGCCAGACTGAATAGAAAATAAAAATACCAAAGCAAGTTAATGAAACGCATACTGGTTACATTCCCTTGCAATGGTCGCACGATGACCTCTGACCCCTCCTTGGAAAGGTCTGAGCCTCCAGTTTCCAATGATGGCGGCCATTAGGGGCGGGGCTAAAAATTAATACCTGCTGTTGCATTACTTCCACATGTCAGGTGGAATTTAAAATTTCACTTTATATGTTTACACAGCTATAAAACAAAATGTTTTTGTGAAAAAATAATTTTTGAGGATGAAACACCATGTGACTGTGTTTTGGCCATTTCTGTAAATAGATAAACATGAGCAGGTGCGAGGTGGGCCTTGCAGCGGGCCCGCCGGCATTAAGATGAGGAAGCAGCGACCGATTTCACCTTTGATGCAGGCGATCATGTCCCTGCGGTCAACGATCAGCCTTTTTTGCTCCTGTTGAGCCTGATGCTGCTGATCTTTCAGCTGGATGTTCTCCACCTCCAGCGGCTGCCTGGTCCGGTCCAGCACCAACGCCTCGCTCAGATCCGAAGGTATAGAGCCATCGGACAGGAATTTAATCTGCTCCATATGTGAGGAGGCAGGTGGGGGAGAGAAGATGTAGTAATCAGTTTATTTTCACTAAACAATTCAATTAAATTCAATTCAGTTTATTTCTATAGCGCCAATTCACAACACAAATCATCTCAAGGCACTTTTCACTTCAACCAGATCAAACAGCCAAATTTATTCAAAGTTTCAGTTGATTGCATCGACTCATTAAATACAGACTTTACCTTCCCAGAACTCACAGAATTTCCTTCAACTAAAGAGCCAGAACTTAGAGCTGTTATGGAATTCTTACTCAGAAATCATTGGATATTTTCTTGTAAC